GTATGTATGTATGTATGTATGTATGTATGTGTGTATGTATATATGCATGTATGTATGTATGTATGTATGTATGTATGTATGTATTATGTATATATATATATATATATATATATATATATATATATATATTCGGATATTGTAGCGACTATGTTAAGTAGCAGTATTATACCATACAGATAGTTCACATATTTGGCCATTGTAGGGGTTCTCACTGTACACGATGGTATATATATATAGATTGTCAGTTATTTCAGGGAGTATCTCGAATCGTCGTATCATATCAGACAGATAGTATACGTATTTGATCATTATAGGGGGTATTTATGTAAATGTATACGATAGAGAAAATTCTAGGCCTTTCCAGGGGGTGGTAGGGCCATTTATTGCGGCTACATGTGTGTGCGTGGTTCGTTGGCTTCTGAGTTATGGTTTCTCTCGTGTACTGAGTATCCGGTGCAATGTGCATGGTGAAGTTGTTGTTACATAGCATCTGCGACCGGCAGCTGAGCTAGGGTTCAGGGTCTGTAGGTTACAACGCACATGAGGGATGCGTGTACGCACGCATTGAACGGTAGTTCTTGTTCAGGTAGTACTAACTAGGTCATATCGGCGGATAAAAATTGTTCAGGTAGTGCTATTGAACGGTAGTTCTTGTTTAGGTAGTGCTATTGAACGGTAGTTTTTGTTCAGGTACTGCTATTGAACGGTAGTTCTTGTTCAGGTAGTACTAACTATGTCATATCGGCGGATAAAAACATTGTGCGGCTTATACAGCACATTATATGTACACAAGTTTGCGTACCATAAAAGATCAATCCGTTCGAGAATTTGGCGTGTTACAACATTTCACTTACGTATCTGTACGTGAAGGCGAGTATACATATATAAGGATATAACTGGATATCCATACAAACGTATAAAAATATACGTGTGCATACCTGAATACTTATTGAACAATTACTTCATTTTTATGCCACAAGCCCCCCTGACCACGACAGCCATACGGCGCACGCTTTTGAAGGTCATATGTACATGTTGTACACATGTTTAATGTATTTATTTGAAGGACATATACACATGTTGTACACATGTTTAATGTGTTTTTTTGAAGGACATACACATGTTGTACACATGTTTAATGTATGCTTTTACAGGTCATATACACATGTTGTACGCATGTTTAAGGTATTTATTTGAAAGACATATACACATGTTGTACACTTGTTTAATGTATCTATTTGAAGGACATATACACCTGTCGTACGCATGTTTAATGTATTTATTTGAAGGACATATGCACATGTTGTACGCATGCTTAGTGCATCTCAAGATGCCGCATCGTGTGTACCTACATTTGAGCATTTCTATCAAAATGGTGCATACATAAAACGGGCGCTCGGAGATTCGGATTCAATTTCTATATATACGTTTGGTCTTATTTGGATACATACGGATTCACAGACACACACACATATACATATATATATAAATGTTAGATAGGGCTATGTGTGAAATGTCCATTGTGAGGCGACACACATGTAGTGATAGTTATATCGTTCGAGCTTTGATTCCGTCCCTATACTGGTTCTCCCGGTCTCGTCCTGGGCAATGGGTTTGTGACCACAAGATTATCCATTGTCTTCCAACGAATCCCGCACAAAGGAACCCGGAAATTTATACCTCTCGCGCAGACACTGATACTCGTCTATGAGGAATATACCATGTCTTTGAGCATATGCAAGCATGAAAGCATGAATATATGTATACATAGAAGTACACACGGTACTCTGGTGTATACCTGCATGCACATGTATACACATACGATGCACACACATAAATATGTCTAAACAGATAGATACGAATCGTACTCTGGTATAACCTACATGAACTTATCTACACATACAACACACACACATGAATAATACTATACATACAAGTACACACGATACTCTGGTGCATACCTGCATGCACATATCTACACCTGCAATAAACACAAATTGATATATCTAAACAAAACATATAACTAAATATGGTATTCTGGTATATATACCAACACACGCATACCTACACACTCAATACACACACCCGAAACACTTAACTACCGCCAACAGCATAAACCTCCGTTGCCACTTCCGACCTACACCCCACAGATTCACGCTACCCTAACCTCTGAACCCTAAAATACAATACATACCCCACAGCTTCACCCTTCAAAATGGCCCCCACAGAATGCCCACTGTGTTTCAAGAGCTTCCCGCGCGAAACAGTGGAGCACCATGCATACACCTGCAACGGCCCAGAGGATATACAGGTCACCTCCATACCCAATGTGGTGTACGATATCACGGCCAAGAACGCGGATGGCAACGATGGCGCCATGCGAGACTATGTGTACTGTGCGAGTGAGGTCGACATCCACCCCTCCGGGAACTCACAGGACCATATACCTGTATGTATATGCTGTAGTATATCACATGGATGGTGGTGTAGTATAGGTGTGTATAGTGTAGTATAGGTGTGGAGGTTTAACTCGCTAGATCATATACCTGTATGTATATGCTGTAGTATATCGCATGGATGGTGAGGTGTGTATGGTGTAGTATAGGTGTGTATGGTGTAGTATAGGTGTGGAGGTTTAACTCACTAGATCATATACCTGTATGTATATACTGTAGGCATGGATGGTATAGTATAGGTGTGTATGATGTAGTATAGGTGTTTATGGTGTAGTATAGGTGTGTATGGTGTAGTATAGGTGTGTATGGTGTAGTATAGGTGTGGGTGTTCAACTCACTAGATAGTATTCGTGTAAGCATGCTATAGTTAATCCCGTGTATGGTGTAGTATAGGTGTGTGTGTTTAACTCACTAGATCGTATTCGTGTATGTATGGTATAGTTAATCCCGTGTATGGTGTAGTGTAGGTGTAGTTGCTTCTCACACGAGACCTAGTTCTACAAAGGAGTTACCTCTATCAAGTGGGATCGACCATTGTGCTTACAGTACCAAATGGTAAGGACCGAGTGAGTGCGTTAACGATGATTACGAAGATGAATATTGTTGCAACCTCTCAATGGCAAGAAAACAGTTCAATCAGGTTGTGTTTACATGTGTGGTATTTTCTACATATACGTATCACCGACTCATGTATCTATCCATACACATCAATATCACTTACATCTGCACAGCGAACTACCCCTATACAGAATCGAGCAGTCATTGCACCTCCAATGGCAACCGGTTGTGCCCGAATGCGTTGCTATGGGAACGAGCTCGAAAGCGGTCTATGCGAACGACGTATATGTCTGCTATATTTCACATATACATAGCATCAACTAAATTGTTTATACCGACACACATCCATATCACTTATATGCACAGGGTGAACTATCCCTATACAAAATCAAGCAGTACGAAGACATACCAGACCTCACAGGAAAGCGGTCTATACGAACTACGTATATGTCTGATATAATCCACATATACATAGCATCAACTAAATTGTTTATACCGACACACACCCATAACACCTATATGCACAGGGTGAACTATCCCTATACAAAATCGAGCAGGCCTTGCACCTCCAATGGCAACCGGTGGAGCCCGAGTGCTTTGGCGACGACTTCGACGACGAAGACATATCAGACCTCACACAGAGCAATGTGTGGCAATCCATACAGCAGCGAGACGCACAGGCGTACTCGTTGGATATGGCTGTACTTGAGTTACAAAGTATACGGAAGAACATACCTACCATTGGATTCTCCAATGTCGTGTTGCAGGTGTGGAGAAGAGTTATGAGTGTAGTTGCATGTATATGATTAAGGATGTCCTTTGATAGACATGAAGCCATGTATATATATATATTCATATATATCTAGTATATATATATGTATATATATATATATATATATACACACACACACACATATATATATATATATATATATATATATATATATATATATATTATATGTGTATTATATTATATTATAGTTATATTAGTTATTATTAGTTATAGTNTAT